TTAGTTGTTTTCACTATTGTATCAGGAAGTTTTCAAATGATATGAAGAGTACCTGTGGGTGAGAAGAACATTTGTCACTATCAAAATGATGCTGCTAATTATAACTAAATGAGAAAAAATTATGAAAATACTTTTATTTTCTCTCTCTGCTAAGGAAAAATTCTTTTAACCATTCTGTAGTTTATGTCAAGATGTGTGTTTTCCTATTAAACTTGTCTGTCATACTGAAAATAGAATTACAGATGAACTTTTGAACTAGCTTGGTAGAAAATTCCTTTTACACGAAGGATCCCAGTGACAATAGTCCAAAACCAATTCACCATAGCATAATACTTTAGGTTAAATGTTTGAGAACTAGTTGAAAGTCTCAAATCCTCTAATCTTTCAAGAATACATTTAATGTCGTATTTATGAGTTTTGATATTAATTTTATGTAGAACCATTATTTTGGTACTTATGGACTGAGAAAGGTTTGTAGTCTCAATTCAGCTTTATTTAAATGCCACTAAATTTTAAATTATAAAAACTTTGTCAGCATTCATAAGCAACAAGGCATGTGTAAATATTACTGAGCAATTTTATTGAAGATTCACAGAGTTGACAGGGAGAGGGTGACCTGTGTATAAATGTGCTCAGTGGAGACTATATTGTCTTTGTTTTTTGTGTACAGTAGTTATGGTGATTAATGAACCATTGTATCCAGCTTCAATATCATACTTTTTTTTTTTTTTTTGGCCAAGTAAGGGACTGTCTTTTGTGATACAAAGCACATTTGTTCAGTTCCCTGAAACTATAATTCACAGAGTTGGCAGAGAGAGCATTGTATACCCCAAAGTGCATGAACTGTGTTATTAGTGAACCCTGCTAATGCAGGAACATGAGAGTACCTGGTGCTTGTTCTACTCTCACTGGCCTTCTCATGGGTTGTCTGCACTAGAGGAAGCCATGGTGGCTTCACATTAGAGACTTTTCTTCTTTTTTCTTGTCAACCGCAGGTATATTTTAGGTGAATCTACCCAAAGGCACTTGGGTATCTTGGGCCCAATCTATTGTTAAAAACATTAATGTTCAAAATATGGAACAATTGTAAAATAGGCACCAACGAAGGACAGTGGCCATAAACCTCAAACAGGATGACTGTGCTGGCCTTGGCAGCTGAGTAGCTAGTGGCTCTGTTAGTCCCTTTGCTAACTGCCTCAACCTAATTAAGAATGGTTTTGATTACTACAGTCTGGTAGCAGATCTGGTTTTTAATGTAGATGTAAAATGTTTCAAGAGAGATTGTTTTGTTTTTCATATGTGAAAGAATATTAGTTATTATGTTTTGGTATAAACTGTTAAGAAGTTAATAACTGTGGTGAGTCTCTTGAGATCACTGGCAGAATCCTATTTAATCTCTGCAACTTTAGCCACTGTTGCTCTTCTGGGTACAATGTGGATGTTTTCAATAATTGTGAAAAATGCCATCATTCTCTTTTTGTAATTAAGAGTAGGTCCAAATTATTGATGTGTAAAACAAATGGCTACTTTTATCTTCTAAATGCATTGCTGTTTATGGCCCATCTTAACTGTTTGAAAATGACAGAGATCCTTAAATTTGTAAATAGCCAGTTGTAATCTTCAAAGCTTTAGTAAATTCCTAAAATATAGTCTTAGAACTTCACACTAGGATGGTTCCTGAAAGTTTTGTCATTCTTCACCAATGTTTAGATCCATGGTTGGACAGTTTTAAAGAATCAGCAAGCTAATTAAAAGGAATTATAGAAATGTTTGTTTAATTATTTTATTGTAAGAGTGCTAGAAAACTTGAAACCATGGACGGTAGCCCTATGAGACATAACAATTCACCATGCAGAAAAATTTCTCTGTGTAAATGAGAGTTGTATGCATAGATTATTATAAAGAATTATGTTTTCTTATTCATTCACTCATTATTGTATTTATTTAGTTGATTTCAGTTATACAATTATTTACTGAGTCAGACAAATATGTGCCAAACATGAGGCTAGTTCACAACTTAAACCTGAAAAATCTTTGAAAATTCTATTATAATTAAAATACTACTGTAATTTACTATATACTTAACCATCTCTTCTGATTTTTAGACTCTATTTTATTCTTCTTGGTATTAAAAAATTGGACACAAATCATTCATATATTAATAAAATAGAAACCTTTACGAATGTTTGTATAGTTCACTGCAGTTGTGTATAATTAAAATGATTCATTCATATCAGATAAATATACATTTTAAGATGAAAACAATGATTCTTGGTATAACTAAGTATGCTGTTATTGTTCATTTGCTTGTTTTTTACATGAGATGTAACATCGCATTCTGGTTTAAGCTAGCATACATTGCCAGCATTCAAATCCCTTCTTGGCTGTGTGACCATTGGCAAGTTACTTAACCTCTCTGCCTGAAATACCTCAACTGAGAAATGGAGATTATAATAGTACCAAGCTAAAAGTGTTGTTTTTAGCATCAACTTTATATGTATATACATATAAAGTCTCTACAAGACTGCCTGAAGTATCATAAGTACAATATAAATATTGACCTTATATGTATGCAAATGTGTTTTAGTAGGGAAAGGAATCTTATATTGCAAAAGTGCTTTGGTTAGTTAATTTCAGGTCCACTTTTTATTAGCTCTTTATCTCTGAGAAAAGTTACTTATTTGTGCCTCAGTTTCCTTATAGAATATGAAGATGCTCATTATATCTACTCCTTAACTTATTCAAGGTTTGAATGAATTGACACACATGAAATAGCACAGTACTTGGCCAAGAATCAGCCCTCAAAAAGTCTTAGCCATGATTATTTATTATTTCATTATATGGGGGTAGTAATTATTGTTATATCAAAAGATAATTATGATCAATAACTATTCCTGTGAAGACAAGTAAGCAATTGAATGTCATCCAAATGTGTTTTCTTTATTGATTATCCAGTAATTTATAAATTAAATTATACTGTTTGTGAATAATCAGATTTGAATAAAATTAATTAAGATATATTTTCTTATTTGTACCTTTGCCTGACCTTAGTGGCAAGTATCAGCACATTTCTTTGTTTTTCCTCAACTCAGGTTGCTAAAGAATCTTGTCATATAATTTAGAAAATTATGTATGTGTATATATATAATTTATATTTGTTTTAATATGGCATTGATATTCAGCACAAGTCCTAAGCTATTTTTAATAAATATTTTGAACTATAATACTACAATTATTGTATAGGTCCCTTGGTTTTAACAAATGGAAACAAATTTATACAAACATTTAAAAAAGACAATTGTGATAGTCTTTTTTTGTATGATTTTTAGGTCTGCCTTATTTTCCCTTTTTGAAAATTGCAATCTTAATATCCTTTTTTTAAATGTGTCTTCAATATGAGTCATGATAAATGATGTTCAAAATGCATTATTTTCTAATAATAGCTGATTTTCCACAAAATCAAAATAAATATGAGTGGTTTATTTTTGCATTCATTACTATCCTAAAAATTTAACCATTGTATGATAAGCATGTGTAGGGGAAGAAAAGTTTTCTTTTTATCTCACTCATTTTAGCTTCATCTTGGACTGGGGCCTTGTAAATTAGACTGGCAAGAGACAGATTAACAAAAGAAAAACAAACAGAATTTTATAAACATGTATATCCTGGACACACATAGGAGCACTCAGTGATGAGTAACTCAAAGGGGTGGTTAGAACTTGGGCTCATGTAGCATCTCAACACATAAACTTTTAGAGAAGTGACAAAAACCGAAGGAAACTAAACATTAAACTGGAGGACCAGAAAAAAGAGATATGAGTTTATTTGGGGGTACGTCCATGCCAGGCACCGGTGGCGGCAGGCCGAGCAGTTCTCCACACCGCACCCAGAAATAGCAGGTGGTTATACAGGCGAGCACAAAGAAAGAAACATTTACTTGGGGATATGGTGTGCATCACCTGGTGTGGTAGGGCAGCCTTCTGTAAAGGTCAGCATGTTCTCAGTCAGGTCCGTAGGGTGGGGGACTTAGGTGGGTGGTGGTGGTGCTGGCCAGTCCCCTGCAGCTTTCTTTGTTTTAACTCTTGGCATCCTCAGGCAGGATTGGGGCCAGGATCTCCAATTACCCAACACGGACTTTGAGTTTTTAGGTTGGCATATTGTAGGAAGATAAATATATGGAGGAAGAATGGAAGATGAGAGCTGTTCAGTGAGGTTTGTTATATAGCTTCCTTGGGTAATGTCACCCAGCTGATACGGGTCTAGAATTGTGTCTCCTAATTAACTTCTGTCCTTCCTGGTAGAGAGGGGAGGAGGGACATCTTTGTAAATTGATGTTTGCTTTTAGGCAAATAGAGGGAGGGCAGGGAGCTTTTCTTGTATCTTCTCAATTGCCTTTGGCTCGAAATGATCCTGTGCCATAGTGACCAATTTTGGTGTGGCATATTCTACCTCCCTTCTTCATATGCTGATTATATAAGAAGTTATACATCTTTAATTTATTTAACTTTTTTTTTTACATAAAATAGTATGTATACTGTCTTTCTTAATCACTAAAACGATCATTGATTACTTTAGCAATTTAATAAGTAATTACCAAATTTATTTTCTCTTAACTTTTTGCTTCTTAATCTTTTCTTTCCAGTTAATTTTTAAGCATGTTATCAGACACCCTAGATATGAACTTTGTCTTTTATTGATTTTTGTTGACTTTAAACATTTTAAGAGAGTTAAATAAGTATCATGTATAAATGAAATGCTAATTGGGGAAAGATTATAATCTAGAACAGCAATTGTCATTGAATCTTACCACAAAATATGAAATTGACCCTATTTATAATGTCTACAGAAGGTCTTGAGAATTTTCAAAGACAAATATGGGGAAGTGATGAGGTTCATAAGCAATTTTTTCTATTATACTAGTAACCTTGATCAACAGCTTCAGAAATACTGCCCTAAGCAGGCTGCATTGTAATTTTTCTTCATTGTTTTTTTCTTGTTAGGAACCTTTCCCTGAAATTAGCAAAAGACATTGATCAGGAAGCTAGGTGTTCCCATATCAGCCGAATGCCCAGCAGTCCGTCTGCAGATTGGCCCTTGCAAGGTGTGGAAGAAAACGGAGGCATAGATTCTCTGCCGTTCAGGCTGATGTTACAGGACTGCACAGCGGTGAAGACGTTACTATTAAAGATGAAGAGAGTTCTTCAAGAGGTAAAGATTTACTCTAAGATTAATGGCTTTCAGTGCTGGTAGACAATGAAGTCTGCAGACCTGGTTAGATCCTGCTCTGTCAGTAAGTAACTGTATGATGCTGGGCAGGGAGTCAGGTGTCCTCTTGGAGCTTAGCTTTAATCATATGTCAAATGAAGGGTTTGGAGTTCTGGTGTATAAGGTACTCTTCAGCTCTAAAATTCTAAGATTTTATGAATGAATTAAAAAAAATTGATTCCAAACTTTCCCCTATTTGTCAGGTAAGGAAAAATGGGCATCAGCTATTAAGTTATGTTTAAATGTTATTATACAGCCATTGAGAGACCTGTTAAATGTACTTCACATTAATGATACTGGGACTTTATTTATGTGACACCATAACAGATAGTTTATTTAGTTATTTTTGTTCCAATAGTAACCAGTCCAGCAAAATTCAAATTGCAGGTTTGAATGATTTTGCCCGATGAATACAATGCCTTCCCACAGCCTGTGCTTAGTCAAATAGTGAGGTGGTAAGAAAAATATAGAATGAGATCCTTTTTACCTTATGCCCAGAAATCAGCCATTTTTTAGGACTCAAGTATGTTATGGTTTGATTTTTGTAATTACAACCATTATTTTCACTGGGGGATTTTTTTTTTTATTTCATCATATTATGGAGGTACAAATATTGTTAGGGTTACGAATATTGCCCCTGCCTCCCCTCCCTCCCCCCCATGTGTCCAATCCCCCGGTGGTGTGCATCACACAAATTGTGGAAGCATACACCCCTTTCCTCCTCCCCCCTACCGCCTGCCTACCACCCAATAAAAAGTTTTGTTTTGATTTTATTTTTGACATTTTGGTTACATTGTATATCTTTGCCTCTCCCTAAGAAGGGTTAGAGTTATGCCCTTCCCTTCCAAAATACTCGCCACCTCCCTGAGATTGGATCCCTCTCTGGGGGGGTTTTATAAAAAGTGTACACATTAATATTACTTCATAGATATGAAAGTTAGGATCAGAAATATTAAATGACTTTCCTCTAGTATGTGTGAATTCAGGACAACAGCCTGAGATTTGTGACTCCAAGTTCAGTGACTTTTTATTATATCCATTATCTTTCAATAGATTTCTCTCTATTGATATATTAATAAATAGTGTGAGAAAAATATTATATTATTATTTGGAATAAATAGTATCGTGGCTATATTTTAATGATGATTGTTAATATTTATTTTTTTTTTTAACACTTTAACAATAATAATAATGCTAGAAGCTACCAATGGAGGCCAGGATTTAATCAGGAAAAAGAAGACAATTTAAGAGAAATGATTGCCACAGACTATGGGGGACATCAGTTCATGGGTTCTCAGCAATTGTTATAAACAAAGGCTAGAAGAGATTGTCTCTGTATCCCATTCCAGTTTACCTTACTGGGGCAGTCTTTGTGTCTAGATCTTATGCGTGGTATGCTACATTGGTAACCTTATACCTGATCACTATCAGAATGTCAAGAATTATATGAGCTGGCAATTAAGCAAAGACATAAAAATAAATCACCTAAATTTAAAATGAAACAGATTATCTTTTTAGGAGTAATCAGTACTCAAAACATATTTCCTATTTATTTTACTAGTATCCATACTTGTAAGATTCCTTATATCTTTTGGATTTATATAGTAGAAGTAAAATGTAATAGCTACTGTGCATATTTCCGAATTGTGGATTCATTTATGTCATTTTGATAACGAAAATCAGCCATGTGGGAGTATTTATGCCACAGAAATTGGCAAACAGAAAAGTAGGGCTTTTTATTTTTGGCAAGCTTGTTGTTAAATATTTACCAGCATACCACTACATGTATGACCTCGTGATTTCTGTACTGACACCATAAATATTTTCCTGCAAATGAATAGACAAGGTAGAATCTTCCTGACCCTTGGCTTCACATGCAGACACAGCCTCTTTGAACAAGGCAAACTTAATTATTCTTATATTAAAAGATACCAATCTCAAAGTTTATAACATTTAACTATTTAGCTTTCTTGCTGTCTTTGGTCTAGATTTTAATAACAGATCAATTCAAGTAAAAGGGAGGTAGGAAGAACTGATAACAAGTATCAAGAGGCTTTTGTAGGGTACTTAATTCTATGATTTTAAAATATTTGATGATCTTCACTATAGATTCAATATTCAGAATATATTGAGATTTTTTTAATACTCCCATGTTTTTCTTCATTAATGAGTATTTGAAGAAACTGAAAAGAATTGATCTTTAAAGCTCATGTAGAGTGAGCAATAATTATGTTTGTATGGCCCATTCGTAAAGCAGGAGTCTTTATTGTCAACAAGGAATGACAATATATTATATGATGAGCATATACAACTGTTCTAGTAGTAAGACATGCATAATAGATGCCTTTCAAAAAATTGTCTGTTGAAATGTTCTTTAAGCCAGGAATTTTCAAACTACAATTCACATTTTATTATTAAATTTGCATTTAAATACCAACTAATCATATTAGATTAATAATATCTTTTTAACATAGAAAAAGTGTTTATTCCTATTTTATTATAAGCTTACTTTATGGTGCATAGTTCAACTTTTGTTCACAAATTATACTTTACAGGAAATCCGATTATCTGATTTTTAAGCTCTTTAATCTATTGCAGGTCTTTTCCAAATGTTCCATAGCCCAAATATTAGTATGAACTATGTAGACCTGTAAAATTATATTGATTCTCAAATAAATAGTTCCTTGATTTTCACTTATCTATTTTGTTAGAATTGATTCATCTCCCTATATCAACATATTTTTGTTTATTTGTTTATTATTGTTTTCAACCGGGAAGCGTTTTTGTGAATATAATTTTCTTAAATTCTTTTGGGTTGCCTGTGAAACTTATTTGGGATTTACTCCATTAGACAGCCCCTTAAAGCTTTTGAAATTTTAATAGTTTGGTTGAGAAGTTTCATGGGGCATATTCTAAAACCTTAAACAAAAGGCACCTTCTGTCTGAGTGAACCAGGTACTCTGCAGCATGACGCTTTATCTTTTAGGATAATTCTGTATCCATTAAATAGATTTTTAAGGTAATAATACCTTACATCTGGGTTGGTGTAGTAGTTGTACAGGCTTGCCTGTTTATGAAAACCCATCAAATTATACACTTAAGATGGCAGCTCATGAAATGTCATCACAGAACTGTTAGCCCCACTGTCAAAGCTTCTATTCATGAAATCTTTGTTTTTCCTTTGTGACACCTGTAAAAGAACTATGACCATTTATCATACAAAGTTGGGATACCATTATCAATTCTTACAAATTGTTATTACAGCTTAATTTTCTCTTCACTTTTAGAATAACATAAAAAATAATCAACAGTACAACACCATCTTCATACACACTAACGAATCCCATTGTACATACTCCCTGAAGAAACCTCTGGTTTAGATAATGGCATATCTTGGATTCACTGAGGACTGATAGGTTTCTTATAAGATTATTCTGTCTGTATAAGGCTTACCTTTTGATGAGGCTATGAAACTCGATATTGAAAATAGATAAGAAAAGGAGAAAAGTATAATTCCATGACTCGTTTTCTATGTAAGTAATTATTTTCAACAATCCATTGAGAGAGGTTAGAGAAGGTGGAGAAAAATTCTTTTCTAACTCCAGTCTCACTTAGAGTGGTAGAAAGAACACAGGTGTTTGGAATCAGATATCTAGGCATATATCACACTTCCGCCACTTAATGTAATAGCTACTACAAGTTGATAAAGGTTTTTATGTTTCTATTTCATCATATGTAATATTAATAACTACCTCATAGGGTTATTTGGATAATTAAATAATGAAATGTGTGTAACAGTTATCACAGTGGGAGTGTGAGGTAAGCACCCATGAACACGAGCTACTGCAGTGATCTTATTTGTGTGATAATTACTGACTTGGTCAAGCTAAGTGTAAAATATCTGAGATTTCTTCAACACTTGGGAATATAACAGTAAATGCTCTTTAATTGTATACCATGTATTCATTGAATCATAATTCAATATTAATAATTGTTAATAAAGGCTATGCTGGCTGAAATTAAAAGTAGACGCATTGTTGCCATTTATGTTTTTCTGGGCTTATCCAATTATGGCAGCACATTTGACCTAATATTCCTTGGCAAAAGTCTTACTATGTGTCAATTGAATTTACTGTTTACGGCCAACATTTAATAAGGTTGTTCCATAAGTAGGAATGTAATATCTTCAGGAAAGCCTTTAATAGCTTTTTTAATAACAGTAGAAGAAAACAAAAAAAAATAAAAAGTAAAATGTCATCTACTGAGAGCTCAATAAAATAAAATAAAAAAAGGTTGTTTGAGGTGAGAATTCATGGTGACACACTAGAGTGGTGACCAGTTGAGACAGAGAAAAGGCAAGAGATGTATGGTGTGTTTTGAAAGTAACCTACTGGTGAATTGGAATAGAGTGATGACAGAAAGAGAAAAAGCAAGAATAACTCTGGAAGTTGTGGCTTGAGTAGCAGGCAGATAGTATTGTCATTTTCTGAGCCAGGGAATAAACACTCAAGAGAGCAGTTTACCTATATGAGGCAAAAAGAGTTCTGTTTTGGCCAGGTAAAGATTGAGATGCTTATTTCAACATTCAGGTGTATGCATCAGATAGAAATCTGAACTTAAGTGTCTGCATATCCAGAAAGATAAAGACTAGAAATATAGATTGAGTATTCATGATCGTATAGATTCTGTTTAAAGGTATGGAAGAGAGAATTTGTATTTAAAACCAGGGTAGGATGCCCTAATATTTAATGATCAGAAAATCAAGAAGCTCTGGTGAGCTAGGAAGAACAGTAAGAGTATAGTGTCTGTCAAGAAGCCAAGAGAAAATACTGCTTCAATAAGGTCAATTTGGGAAGGTGCTGAGAAGTAAGTAGGATAAGAAATGATAAGCAATCATTAGAAATTAATAATCATTTGGCAGTCCCTTGAAATTAATTCCAAAA